AACCATGTATTCAGATCAATATGAAAATAAAATAAGACAAAATTTTTCTGGCCCCTGAGGAATTTTTTTCCTGATGTCTTTAAATGTTATTGTAGCCATTGACAAAGGTACTTTCTAGTGAACTCTCTGTTTTCCTTACTCATAGCCAATTTTGCACTTTGATTACTCTAAGCCATCTCCCAAGGTACTTCTGAAAACAAGCTACATGTGTATATTTTAACACACCTACACATTTAAATTTTCCTTTTCCATCAGACTCAACTGAACAAATAAATAATTTATTGAACTTTTAAATGCAAAATAATCAGATGCCCTTTACACACTTCATGTCTAATTCATCACTTGATCCTTGAGATTTCTGTAGTATCTCGGCAGTCGCAGGGGCTTGGAGTGCTGGAAGTGTTGAACCAACCACAGCTGATTCAATGGTGGAACAGCAGGTCCACAATTAAGCAATCTTAATTGCTTTATGCACTGTGATTTACTGAAACTCTGATGCAGGGATTTTTAATGCCTGGAACCCACCCAGCTCGTTACAGTCCAACTGCACAGGGCAAAACCAAACAGAAAGAACTGGGCTGGGAGTCAGGAGTGGATATTGTCCTGGCTCTGTCATGCTCTCATCCTAGTACTTGGGCAGTTAAACCAGTGGGATGAACAAAGGTTTTCCCATCCATAAATTAGGGACAGTCCTGTTTGCCCTACCTACCAAACAAGGTTGCCTTTGGGGCCTCTGTGAAAAACCATAGGCATTTGTGAGACTCATACAGTATCTGACTCTAAACATTTCTTTTGTGCGTAGGTAGTTGGGACCCAGAAGGCATTTTCTCAGAAAAACAATACTACATCTGGTAGTGAGGTTCCCAGTCTAATGCTACAAAAATCTAACTCGTATCCAAGTCCCTGGGGTATGAAACACAGCACTATCCCTACATATCAGTACTACCATGGGATGGAGGATGATGGGTGCTGTGGTTAGAAGTCTGGATGAGTGACAAGATGGGGTGTCTTTGCATAGGGGAAAGAGAAAAACTGGTGCTGAAAAGAAAAGAAGTCACAGGCGGGAGCTGGGGGCCCTTGTGGGAAGGAGCTCATGGTGAGGCTGTGGGGGGCCCTTTCACATGTAAGGATTTATTGGGTGCAGGAAAGAAATGACAGGCTTTGACTTTGGAAAGTGCTATAAATAAAGTTGTTCAGTGCCTCCTCCCACCCTTCAGCCCACCCCCTTCTCCACTCTCCTATTTTCTTCCCCACATTCTATTTTTGAAGTCTTTAGGGCACATATACCATAGCCAGCACTTCCCTGAGATCCAAGATGGAAAATCCACATTCTCCATTAAGTGACTAATAGCTCTATATGAGACCAACACATGACACATAAATATGTACTGTAAAAACAGAAGGTCCTGCGAGAGCGGGAAGGGACATTCATGTCCCTGGACTGCTCAAAGCTTTAAAGACTCCTTGGTAGACCTAAGAAGAAGCTGCTGCTCCTTTACTATTTTTCTCTGGACAGAGGCCTTCTAAATCTGACTTTTCAAATCCCTGATTGAATTCCCAGCAATCTACTTTTCCTGACTATAACCAGAAAGGCATGTTTAAATGAACATGAAATTCCATCAGTAGAAAGCCTTGTGCAGCCCCGTTGCCAAAGCCGCTAATAACGCCCTATTGTGTTACTGTGGTGCTCTAGGTTATCATTACGCAGTCTTTGCTCCTGGTTGAGAAAACATGACGTTCCATTAAATGTATAATCTGGGTTCCGTCCAGGCCAGAGATGCATCCTGCTTACAGCTGAAATGAGCTGGGATTTAATGCCACAGAAAAGAGAACCAGTCACAAGGGGAAAGGGAGTTTCAGGGGTAGGGAGAAGAATGCTGGATTTAGTCTCTTGTGAGCCCCTGGTTTCAGCCTGTAGTCAGTGTCCTGCCAGCCAAAGGATCTTAGAAGCCCAAGGAAAAGCTGACTCAGCGTTCTTCCCCTTCCCCCTCTGCTGTGGTTGGATGCTGGACAGCAGTGTCTCAGGAGGTTCTTTCTAGGACAGAAGACCATGTCTTTGGGGACTACCCAAGGGCCTGTTTGCAATGGCTGCCTCTAGGACCAGCCCCCAGCTCTGGACTCAAAAAACACACAATTCTCTGGCTCAAGATAGTGAACTGGAAGTGTGTACATGATCATACCATGTTTTAGAAAGTTTTTTATTCAGCATAAAAATGTCCCTGTCTTCAAGCAAGTGAGGGGCAGCCATATGACTTCAATGTACAATCATATTCAATACTCAGCGTTATCACGTCTAACTTAAATCCCCTGTTGGACCTTTACTCAATTTTCAGCTTTTTAGCATAAACATCACTACTATGAGCATATGTCTAGGCACTTCTTTGTGACTATTTGGACTTTTTTTCCTCTAAGAAATGAAATCGTGGGATGGAAATGAAGACCTTCCACTGTTTTAAAACCATTTAATACACGTTACCAAATTGTCTTCTCGTCTGTACTATTCATAAGGAACCTGTGGCTATTTCAATTTAAATAAACTTAAATACAATGAAAAGTTCACCTCCTCAATTTCACTTGCCATATCTCAAGTGCTCAATTCTCACCTGTGGCTAGTAGCTATCTTATTGGACAGCATAGTTACAGAACATTTCCATCATCCTAGAAAGTTCTATTGGACAGTGCAAGTCTAGAAAGACTGTAAGCTAATTTATATTTTCCCTAGTAAGGTACAGCAGTGCCTCGCTCCCACAAGGTGGTCAACTCAGAATGTTGTGTTTTGGTTTTTTTTTAAATCTTTTCCAATCTAATAAAATTATATCTTGTTTTCATTTTTCTGATTGCCAGTGGAATTGAACTTTTTGTTCACTTATTGACTTTCACACACACGTGTGTGTTTATCTTAAAAATGATGGGGTAGGGAATTTTCCTATTAAGGTTATTTTAACCACTTTTTTCTATAGTAAGATCAGTGTTTAGAGGGTAATTTATGTTGCAAAGTTTTTATAACTTGTTATTTTACTTATGGCATTTTTTTAGCTACAGAAGAATAAAATTTTAATATATTCAAATCTCTTATATTTTCCTTTATGGTTTCTTTATTGTTTTCATGCAAGCTCTAAACCTGAGATTACAGTCATATTCATCAAAATAATCTAGTTCTTTAGTCATTTCATTTAAATATTTAAATTTTCATTCCTTCTGGAATTTACTTTGTATGTGGTATAAGGTATAAACTAACCTTTTTCTTTCCCCATGTTATCAATCATTTGGCCAAAAATTTAAAAAAATAATGAATTCATTTCCACCAAATGTGTGTGTACTTGCACCTATCTAAATTGTTCTCTTCTGTCCACCTGTTCTTTGGACTTTGCTATCCTGTTTTTTTTTAATAATTTGCTTTATAATACATGTTGCTATTTAGAGAGAAATTATTTCTTCATTATTCTTTTCCAAAAATGTTTTACCTGCTTCCTTTCCCCGCTCACATAAGCCTAGAATCATTATGTTAACTCTTCCCATCACCCAAATAAATTCTTTCAGGACTTGAACTGCGAAGCTTAATTCAACTTAGAAATTAATTTGGGGACTTCTGATTACCTCTATAGTATTGAGTCCTTCCATTCTAAGAATGGTAATTCTGTCCATTTTTTTCAAGTTTCCCTATATGTCCTGACAACTTATTTTTTGAAGAGCACAAAAGATGAGCCTCTGTGTTTTCAGACACCATCCCTGAGTATGTGAGCTTGTGCTCCCAGCCACTAGAAGTAACAAAACAATTTCCATTTCTTAGCATCGGATTATATTTTCAGTATCCACCTTCTCATAAATCTGCAAGCAAGAGATCTCACTTTTCATCCAAAGAATCTGGAGTTCAAAACAGCCTTTACGGAAAAACCAAACTCCAGAAGCAACTGCAAAGCACATTTGATGTCTAGCAGCCAGCTTATTTTGCAGGACTCTTTTTCCAACTCCCAAATACTTTCCAGTCTGTGAAATTCATCTCCCACCACTGTAACTGCAAGCGCCTCTCCTGGCACCAGGGATGCTTGCAGAGTTTTAAGGAGCAGGGATCATCTCAGAGGGGCTTTTTATTTTTGTAGCTGGTTTTCAGCAGATAGCATGGAGCTTCATTGCGTGACTGTGGCTTGGCAAACCTGTGGGGCTCTGGGGAGTGTTTAATAGGTCAGAGTTGAACAATCTCTTGAGCAGAGTCCCAAAGTCTAACCACTGTTCATTTTAACAAGGAAACCAGGACTCCTGCACCTCCCTGGTAGCCGAGGGAGGATTGTCAAATGAACAAGGGCATGAATTCGCCTCCACCTGGGGTCTCGCTGAGGCCATTTGGTTATGTCCGGAGAGATTTTGGTTGTCACCACTAATGGAGCAGCAGGGAAATGTGAATGGCACCGTGGTAGAGGCCAGGGATGCTGCCATACAAACATCGTACAACGCACAAGACACCCCCGAAACGATCACCAACCTTCAATCTCAGTAGTGACGAGGCTGAGAAAGCCTGCCTTACTATCTTCACTAAGTGACCAGGCAGAACGTGCATTATATTATTAAGAACAAAGGTGATGCATTCTGCGGGACAGCGTTTTTAAAAAGAGACGAGTGGCTTTGAGATGCCCACGCCTGTTACTTTAGAAGTGCAAGTGCTGCGTCTGGTCAAGCCTTTCTCACCAAAATGGGATGGAGTCACAAACACGAGTAAATCAACAGCATCCTCCAAGCTTCTGACACGCTCCTGGGTCACAGGCAGCACACAAGGCAGAAAAGTGAGTGTCCCAAACAATCAGCAGCGTCGCCTCCCCGGCGGGCTCGCAGCGCAGGCGAGGGATGGGAGGAGCGCTCCCCAACAAAGGCGCAGCGCTCACCGCCGCCACCTCCCACGGTCCCGCTGGTCCCTGGAGACCCGTGCCAGTCCCAGAGCGACCCGGCCCACCAGCCCTGCCCTGCCCGGGAGAAAGCATCGTCACTAGCTTAATCGAGGTACTTACTTGTCCAAAATGAAGTACAGGTCAAATCCCCCGTAGCACGCTGGACCCCCATCCTCCCTGCGTCCCCCGTGCCCGGCGCAGAGGAGCACAAAAGTGGCTAAAGAAGCCAAGGCCAAGGGCTTTCTGCTCCACTTGAAGCCAATGCCAAGGGCTTTCTGCTCCACGGTGGCCATGACCGCAGCCCAGGGAGAGAGTAGGGTCCTTCCCACGCTCCGCGAACTCGCCACGACCTTCAGGGACGCGCCATCCGAGGGTCCCTGCTCTCGGGTCCTCGATTCTCCCTCGTTCCCTTGAAACTCCCCAGAAGCAATTGTCTGGAGGAGTTCAAGGTTTTCTTTCTGGTTTCCGCTTTGATTCTGTTTTTAGGTTTCAGATTTCAAGAATCCCAGTACCGAACTCCGCTTTTTTAAAGGGGCTGCTTTGGGCTCGGGCCGCCGGGCCGATCTCCAGGCTGCGCCGAAGTTTTGCAATTGAAGCAGTTCCGTCTTGACGGTTCTTTGTCCCAGATTTTAAGTATTATGGGGTGGGTTTTCAAATTGTTCTTGGTTAGGGCAGTGCTTTGCCTCTGCTCCCTCCCCTCTCCTTTCCCCCCTCCCTTCTCCTTTTCCCCCCCTTCCCCCTGGTCTTATTTTTGGGGGGGGAAGAAAGTCCAACGAGTGCCACCTTGTGGCCAAAGACGACGAAAGCACGGTTCTGGGGACGTGAGAGCGTGGTGGTGGGAGGGGGAGAAGGAGAGCCGGGGGGCGGGGTGGGGGACAGGGGGAGGGCCGGGGGGCGGGCTGGGGGAGGGAGGCATGCTAATGTGGAGTGTAACAATCCTTTTCCTCGCCATTTTCAGGTAAATTGCGCTTGTTTTCTTTTCCCGTCTTTTTCTTTTCCATGACCACTTCTCCATTCTCTCAATGGATACAGTTACATCTGCGGAGACAGTAACTATAAATATTTGATGAGAACTCATTTCCTCCAAGCACAGTAGCTCTGACTCCAGGCTGGGACCTTTGCAAATATAAGCCATTGTGCAAATTAAGTAGGGGAAAACAAGCCTTTTGTCATCTGAATCATCCAAGTGACCTTACATAGTCAGAGTAGATCATAAAGGAGATTGTTGGAGTTTGGTTGAAAGCAGAACAACACAATGCTGGAGGGTGGCACTCCAGGCTGCTCCCTGCTTGGAATAGTTGAGCTCTCTAGATTGTCTCCATTCCCATATTTTAGGGATCTGTGACAACAGTTCTTGCTTTCAGCCTGTGAACTTTGACTTTTACTCTGATCTTTGATGTAGGACAGAGGAAGTAAACAGCTTACAAGAGTGTAGACTGTTCAAACAGTTTGAGACTGGCAGGGAAGTCTTATGCTTGCCTTTCTAGACTGGAGAGCTTTCTATAGAGAGGCCTCTGAAAAAGTAATCAGAGGGGGATAATAAAAAAACTCTAATCTATCCAAACCTTTCTTTTCTGTACCTTCTACCTCCTCAAAATAGGGAAAGCCCATGTGACCGCACTGCAGCTCTATGCTAAGAAAGAGAAAAATCTACAGAAATTGGCTGAGTAAATGAAGGCCAAAACCCCAGCAGGAACTGGTCAAGAAAGAAAAGGAATTTGAGGATAAAGTAGTAAAGAGGGCTTGTGGAGTTAGCAGGGAAAAGGAACAGGGCTTGAATGTCGCTGAAGGGAGCTGAGGACAGAAGGAATCAGGGAGTTAGCTGTTACATCCTCCAAACAAAGGACAAAAGTTAGGAATGTCCCTCAGGACTTTCTTAGGTTGTTGAAGAGTTGGGGTGATGAAGGAATGTTTGAGAATTTTACAGGACGTTAGCCTGGGAGGCAGCCAAATGGTGTCTTCCTAGAACTCTTCAAGTTAGAAATGCCAAAATCAAAGACAGGCAAACGTGCAGATTCCAGAGGGAAAGTATATCCCATGTGAAATACATTTATGGGGAAGAGAAGAAGGTGAAAGAGTATCTCCTAGGACAAATATGGTCCCTTAGAGGACAGAAAGGTAGTTGGAGCGACTCAGATATTTGAGTGTACCAGCTACCTCTGCCTTTCTTACAAGATTCTAGAATGCGGTCTAGTGATACAAGTTGACCATCTCTACATTTTAAAATGGCTCTATACTTCTCTCTCTCTCTCTACCCCAGAGAAATTCATTTCTGGCTGCCACTTACATGGCATGAATATACTCGCTTCACTCACTGTAGGGAAATGTCTCCCAAACTTTCCCATGAAGAAAACTTGACATTGAGTTACAGAGATATGATTATTTCCTTGGAAGAATGAAATAGAATAAAGATATCCACAGTCTCTAATGATGGTAAATGAAACCTCTGATCCCAGCACCATAGCTCGGTGGGGGAAGTGACATTGTCAGCTATCCTGAGTTAGAAACAACTGCTGTCTTTGGTTTAGAGGATGTAACAATCTCATACTTAGTGCATGTAAGGCCATGGGAGAGGTGGGAAGAGGTTGGTCACTGGAGGATAGAGCAGGACTTGGGAACAGGAATGGGTTCATGTTAACATTTCCCAGATCAATTTCAGGTATCAGGGACATCCAAATGTCGAGTCCCCTGCCCAGATGTTATCATCCATTTGAGTGATTCTCAATGATCTAATTGAACTGAGAGTGTCCTGTTTTCTAGCCCTTCCAAGGACCCCAATGTTTTGGAGGAGATTGATCAGCCTTCCCAAAGTCCATAGAGATATATACATGAGCTTTGGAATGAAATCCTCTTCCTCTCAAACTCAAGACAGTGGAAGAACCAGCAACATGGTGATGTGCAAGCTCTGGTCAGATATTTTTGGAGTTGAAGATGCACAGGAGAAAATTAACCATGCATGTGAAAGCCAAGGTATGAAAGAGTTTTTTGGAGCAGAAAGCAGTCAACAACGCCACATGCTGTGCAAGTCAGAAGAATAAACCCTGAGAAAACCCCATTGATTTGACCAATGTGTCACTGTGTCACCAAGGAGTATTCAAGTGGAGTAGAGCAAGGTATGTTACTGGGTAGTAGGAAGGGGACACTTCTCTTTCAAGGAGATATAAGAATAAGGGATAACTCGTGACTGGTCAAATGTTTCATTTGCCATAGAAGGGTCTCAGGCATTTTAAGCTTCTGGCCTTCCACAATACAGGAGATTTTGTCTTACTACACTGAAAATCCCAAAGCTTTAGCCCTACACTCTAATCACTGTAACTGAATGAGAGACATTTCCTTCTTTGAGACAGGAATTACCAAATACCAGCTGTCTGTCTCTCAGCTCGTTGACTCACTCTCCCTTACTCGCCCCCACCTTCTGACACCTGTGACCCAGTCCCTTCTATTAAGTTGTCAAACACAAAGCTTGCTGCCCTGATAACACTGCCACCTGACCTTCTAAGAATCTCACTGCACATCTAAATGTTCTTGTCTGGGTTCTTGGCAAAGATTCTGGAAAAGATGCCATATAACATGGACTACTCAAGAAAATCTGGGAAATTTTTCCCTTGGAAATATTTGCCACAATGTGAATACATCTGATTCTCTCTGGTAAATTTTATATTAATCAAGTAGTGTCATTATTTGTATGTTCTTGGAGGTCTTACTGGTCCCTGGGTTTACCATCTGTTAAAAAGTCAAGAGAGTGTTCTCAGAAGCAATTTATCATGTATAACCATAAAATTTCTAAAGAATCTGAGTCAACTGAGCAATGACTTGAAGATAAGAAAAGCAAATGTACCAGCAATAAAGTTAAGCCCAGAGGCAGAACCGTGGAGTACAACGAGATGTCCTGAGGGTATCCCACAGGCCAGGCCATCTACAACTTCAGCCCAGAAACAGCCTAGCCAAGTCTATCTTAAAAATAAATTCTAGTTTGGCTCTTAATTCAAGTAAGAGGAATTCAAACCCCCAGGCCAGAGTCTTGTTAGCAATCACTCTAATGCAGAAATAAAACCCATTCAAGATGGGTCACAACCCAACTCTTGACAAAAATTTCCACAAAAAAATGAATTCATATCATATATGAGTATATATCAGCCCAGAAACAAATTCTGTCTAATTTGGTTCCCAACCCAGCACAGCTAAGGCCATGAACCATCCCAGGGCATCCTAAACCACAGGCAAGCCCTCTGAAGAATACATGCTTTGAAGAATCTAGTCAAGAGAATAATCCATAGTTTATGAAAACATATCCTAAAAAGTCCATTCCAGATCCTTAAAAGGACCTACAGCCTTGCCGAACAAACAGTTCATTTTATCTAGAACACAGACTAGGCCAATCAAAGTCAAAAGTCAGATGATGGCTGCAGTGGTTCAATACAGTCCAGGGTCCTAATGAGCCTGAAGATTCCAGTGGATGATTGCATTAGACAAGTGAAGGCCAGCACAGAGCTAAGCTTAAGCCCAATTTAAGCTGGTCCTGCCAGTTCTGCCCAGCTCTGGCATATTTAAGACTATGGTCTTAGAGGTCCCAGACCAATTTGTAACTGAAGATACCAGAGAAAATGTACTGAGACCTGGTAAGTCCATGGGCTCTTCAATCCTTTTGCTAATGGCCACTGTCCAAATGGTATAGTTCAAGTTGCAAGAGGGACTAGTAGTTTGGAGAATGTGTGAGCATATATGTGTGAATGAGGATGTGGAGGGGTGCTGTGAGGGTTGGGACAGGGACACTTGCTTACTGTTGAATAATAATGGAGCTTTTTCAAGGTACAAATATCTGTAGAATACCAGAAATGGGTGTTGGGTTTGAGGGACACACAGTTAAATATTGTCTTATATGACCAGTCTTGTTTCCTTCCTTGTCTCCTACCTTCCTCTTCCCCAAAGAGATCTATTAAAATATATAGAATTAATGGTAATTCCCACAAACCGTTTGAGCTCTAGGCAGGGTGACATACTGATTAACAGGTCAATCTCACATCAGAGTATTTGGGCAAAGCAACTTTCTATTGGCACAAACTGGCTGACTGTGAAAGTTCCTTGACCTACCCTTACTTCAACTTCCCAGCTGAAGAATGGAAATTATTAATATTACCACCTCACTGGGTTGTTGAGGAGTTTCAATGAGATAATATATGTCACGTGTGGTCTCAGGAAGAACACAATACATGTTGGCTTTTATTGCTACTGGGAGATTCTGGGAAATCACATTTGAATTTCTTCTAGAGATGGGAATAGATTTTAGAAGAACCACTTGCAGAGCATTTGATTTTTCTACTACTACTGAACAAAGCTGTTTTTGTACTATGGATTTTCATATTATCAACCTTGAAAAACGCAAAGATGAAGATTCTGTCTTATCCAGGAACTACTGGGAGATGATGGGTTCCTAGGATGCATACAGAAAACAAATAGAAAGCATATTTTAAGGCTGTCAATAATGTATTGGCAACAATGCTGTTACCACTAGCCAAGAATGCTAGATAGCTAAACTCTAATGGAATGTCTGAGTGCATTTAATAACCAGTGATCCTTCTTTCTGTTACTGGTTTTTGAGACATTGGAATCTGTAGAAATGAGCTCTTATTATTCCTCC